TAGTACTAGTTTAAAGTTCCTCGTGGTTTCCATCTTCCCTCTCACCAGCAGTATATAGACATTAAACAGAGTTGTTTCTTTTGCCTTCTAGGTGTGATTACAAAGTTAATTATAAAGGGAAAAAAACTTTTTATGTTTTATATTAAGAATAGCTATTTTAGGGGCACATGGGTGGCTCAGTTGGTTAAGCAACTGCCTTCGGCTCAGGTCATGATCCTGGAGTCCCAGGATCAAGTCCCGCATCGGGCTCCCTGCTCAGCGGGGAGTCGGCTTCTCCCTCTGTACGCTTCCCCCCTCATGCTCTTTCTCTCTCATTCTCTCTCTCTCAAATAAATAAATAAAATTTTAAAGAAAAATATAGCTATTTTATTTTTATTTATTTGAGAGAGAGAGTACATGAGCAATGTTGAGGTGGGGAGAGGGAGAAGCAGACGCCCTGCTGAGCAGAGAGCCCAATGTGGGGCTTGATCCCAGGACCCCAAGATCATGACCTGAGCCGAAGGCAGCTGCTTAACCAATTGAGACACCCAGGTGCCCCAAAAATTGCTATTTTAAAAACTACAGGAGCAATAACTATGTTATCGTCTTTGTGTATCCTATCACCTTTGTTTCCCTCTAAGCTTATTCATCCTCAGATATCTTTAAAATTATAAATACACTCTTGTCCCTTATTCTCTATAGTATGAAACGGAGGTCAAAGAGTCTCCTGACCTACTGATCACTAAATGCTTTAGATAAAACTGTGCTTCTTTAGAGGGTCAATAAGAGTAATTTAAACACTTGTATGAAGTAGGAAAGTTTTATTTATAAAGATTTATAACTTTTTTTATATGGCAAGGATTAGTTTAAAAATTAAAATGTTAATGTCTTTTGTTTTTTTTTTTTTAAAGATTTTATTTATTTATTTGAGAGAGAGAATGAGAGAGAGCAAGCACAAGAGGGAGGAGGGTCAGAGGGAGAAGCAGACTCCCTGCTGAGCAGGGAGCCCGATGCGGGACTCGATCCCGGGACTCCAGGATCATGACCTGAGCCGGAGGCAGTCGCTTAACCAACTGAGCCACCCAGGCGCCCAAGTGTTAATGTCTTTTGGAGATGAAGATAGAAATAAGAAGATGGCACTTATATAACATAATGTTACGGGCTCTGAAGTCAGACAGCCTTTGGTTTATGTCTCATTTCTACCACTTAACTATATGACTTCAGGCAAGTTACTTAACCTCTTTAAGCCTGAGATTCCCCTTGAAGAAAGAGTATAGATAAACCATAGTGGGGCGCCTGGGTGGCTCAGTGGGTTAAGCATCTGACTTTTGATTTCAGGTCACGTCATGATCTCAGGGTCTTGAGGTCAAGCCCCATGTCAAACTCTGCACTCAGTGGGGAGTCTGCTTCTCTACCTCTTCCCTCTGCCCCTCTCGTGCGCAGGTGCGTGATCTCTCTCTCAAATAAGAATAAAATCTTAAAAAAAAAAAAAAAGATAAACCAGTAGTATCATCATCATAGTATCACGAGCACTAATTACATACACATAAAGCACCTCAGCACACTGCCTGTATAGGTGAATAAATGAAGAATCCTTGAATAACTTCCAGGCTTCTTGAGATCTCATAAAGCAGGGCTTGGCAAATTTACTTTGTAAAGGACCAGACAGTAAATACTTTAGTCTTTGTCAACCATGTTTTGTCTCTGTACATATTCTATTTTGTTTGGGTTCTGCTTTTTACAACCATTTAAAAATGTAAAAAACATTCCTTTTTTTTTTTTTTTAAAATTTTTTTAAGGGGGGTAAAAAGAAGGGGGGGGGGGGGGGGGGGGGGGGGGAGGGTTGCAGAAGAAGAGGGAAAAGCAGGGAGCCCAACTTGAGCCTCAGTCCCCGGAGTCCAGGATCGTGACCTGAGCCAAAGACAGATGCCTCATAAAGCCATTTTTTTAAAGATTTTATTTATTTGTCAGAGAGAGAGAGAGCACAAGCAGGGAAAACAGCAGGCAGAGGGAGAAGCAGGCTCCCTGCTGAGCAAGGAGCCTAGTGTGGGACTCAGTCCCAGGACCCTGGGATCATGACCTGAGCTGAAGGCAGACGCTTAACTGACTGAGCTATCCAGGTGTCCCCCGTAAAAGCCGTTCTTAACTCACAGGCTGCAGGCCCAATTTGGCCCCTAGGCTGTAGTTAGCCAATCCTTGTACACAGCACCACTAGATTTATCAAAAACTAAGTTTTTACCTTTTTTTTTTAATTTAAACTTTACTTAGTGAACATACAGTGCAATATTGGTTTCAGGAGTAGAATTCAGTGATTCATCACTTAAAACATCCAGTGCTCATCACAAGTGTCCTCTTTAATACGTATCACTGATTTAGCCCATTTCCCTCCATCAACTCTCAGTTTGTACTGTATTCTTAAGAGTCTCATATGGCTTGTTTCCCTTTCTCCTTTTTTTTATTTTCCCTGTTCCCATATATTCATTTGTTTTCTTTCTTAAATTTCACATATGAGTGAGATCATTTGTTTTTTTGTCTTTTTCTGACTTATTTCACTTAAGATAATATCCTCTAGCTCCATCCACATCTTTGCAAATGGCAAGATTTCATTTTTTTGATTGCTGAGTTATATTCCATTGTGTGTGTGTACATATACATGTATATGTATATATACATATACACACACGCCACATAGTCTTTATCCATTCATCTTTTGATGGACATCTGGTCTCTTTCCATGGTTTGGCTATTATGGACATTGCTGCTATAAACATTGGGGTGCAGGTGCCCCTTCGGATCACTGCATTTGTATCTTTGGGGTAAATGCCCAGTAGTGCAATTGCTGGGTCATAGGGTAGATCTATTTAACTTTTTTAGGAACCTCCATACTGTTTTCCAGAGTGGCTGCACCAGTTTACATTACCACCAACAGTGTAAAGGGTTCCCCTTTCTGTGCATCCTTGCCAACCACCTGTTGTTTCTTATGTTGTTAATTTTAGCCATTCTTGCAGGTGTGAGGTGGTGTCTGAGTGTGGTTTTGATTTGTATTTCTCTGATGGAGAGTGATGTTGAGCATCTTTTCGTGTGTCTGTTAGCCATCGGGATGTCTTCTTTGGAAAAGTGTTTATTCATGTCTTCTGCCCATTTCTTGAATGGATTATTTGTTTTTTGGGTGTTGAGTTTGATAAGTTCTTTATAGATTTTGAATACTAACGCTTTGTCTGATACGTCATTTGCATATATCTTCTCCCATTCTGTAGGCTGCCTTTTAGTTTTGTTGACTATTTCCTTTGCTGTGCAAAAGCTTTTTATCTTGATGAAGTCCCAATAGTTCATTTTTGCTTTTGCTTCTCTTGCCTCCAACAGCGTGTCTAGTAAGAAGTTGCTAGGCCAAGGTCAAAGTGGATGCTGCCTGTGTTCTCCTCTAGGATTCTGACGGTTTCCTGTCTCTACATTTAGATCTTTCATCCATTTTGAATTTATTTTTGTGTATGGTGTAAGAAAGTGGTCCAGTTTCATTCTTATGCATGTTGCTGTCCAGTTTTCTTTCCCAACAGTGTTTGTTGAGGAGACTTTTTTCCACTGGATATCCATTCCTGCTTTGTCAAATATTAGTTGACCATATACTTGTGGGTCCATTTCTGGGCTCTCTATTATGTTCCATTGATCTATGTGTCTGTTTTTGTGCCAGTACCATACTGTCTTGATGACTACAGCTTTGTAATAGAGCTTAAAATCCAGAATCATGATGCCTCCAGTTATGTTTTTCTCTTTCAGAATTGCTTTGGCTATTTGGGGTCTTCTGTGATTCCATACAAACATTAGGATTGTTTGTTCCAGCTCTGTGAAAAATCTGGTCGTATTTTGATAAGGATTACATTAAATGTGTAGATTGTTTTGGGTAGTATGGACATTTTAACAGTGTTTGTTCTTCCAATCCATGAGTATGGAATGGTTTTCCATTTCTTTGTGTGCTCTTCAATTTCTTTCATAAGTGATCTCTAGTTTTCAGAGTACAGATCTTTTACCTCCTTAGTTAGGTTTATTCCTAGGTATCTTATTTTTGGTGCAATTGCAAGTGAGAGCGATTCCTTGATTTCTTTTTCTGCTGCTTCATTATTGGTGTATAGACATGCAACAGGTTTCTGCACATTGGTTTTATACCCTTCAACTTTGCTGAATTCATGTATTTTAGCAATTTTTTGGTGGTCTTTCAGGTTTTCTGCATATTGTATCATGTCGTCTGCAAATAGTGAAAGTTTGACTTCTTCCTTGCCATTTTGGAGCCTTTTATTTCTTTTTGTTGTGTGATTGCTGAGGCTAAGACTTCCAGTAGTATGTTAAATAGTACTTTTACCTTTTAAACTTCTAGCCTCGAATTGCCAGTGTTTATTGCATATTAGGGACTATATATATTTTGTTACTGACATTTATGTTTTTTTTTTTCTAATTATCCATCAGCCAACTTGATTCTGAAATGTAATAGTTGAGACTATTTGCTTGGGTCCTTCATCAGTAGTTCTGTTAAATCCATATTGTAGTAGCTAAGCAGCTGTAAACTCAATATGAAAATTTTAGGAGGTTTTTGAAAGATAAAAAACCATAAAAAGCAATAACCATAATTCTCTTACTATATTTATCAGTTATTTCCACGTGAAGGGCTTGACCATTTAGGCCATTACTTCTGTTTTTTCCTTAATGATACTTTCTCAGTTCTGTTGTGAATTAGCAAAACCGGTTTGGGGACTGAGACAGGCCCAGGGAGTTACCAGAGCATCATAATTTTCAATTAATTGGAGTTTCTAGTATACTAGGAATACCTAGAACAGTGACATGATTGCTGTTGTCATTTCTAATGGAAGATGGAAATAATGACAGTACTCTTGGTAGCCAAGAAGATGGGATGAGTTTGTGTACTTACTGAGCCTTAGTTTTTGTGACTGTGGTCACAGTTCTCAGGCTTCATGTTACCTTTAAGTATAAGATAAATTTTCTGCTAGAAAACATTTCTTTTTCTCTTTCAGTTGAAGCTGTGAAGTCTGAACTTGAGCCCTTTAATGACTCTACTCATATTTCTCTGCAAGAAGAAAACCAGTCTTCTGTCACTCGTTGCCTCCCTGATGCTTCTACAATTACTGAAGAAGGTTTATTTAGCCAAAAGAGTTTCCTTGTTTTGGGGTTTAGTAATGAAAATGAATCTAATATTGCAAATATCATAAGAGAAAATGCTGGAAAAATCGTGTCCCTTCAGAGCAGAATTGTTGCTGATTATGCTGTGGTTCCTCTGCTGGGGTGTGAAGTAGAAGCAACTGTGGGAGAAGTTGTCACAAATACGTGGCTGGTAAGAAAACCCTGTAGCAGTTGAAATGTGTTGAAGGATATCAGGCCCTGAGAGTGTTAATGTTTATTTCCTAAGCAATTCAGTTTAGGTAAATTGGCATTTGCGCAAGGTTTAGATTTTGAGTTTAGCAAAGGGAATTGTAAGATAGGAAAATACGCAAGCTTTCTTGGCCCCAATCCTGGCAGAGTAGAGCTTATTGTTTCCCTGGGGCCACAGCAGCAGCATTCCTTCTTAAGATGTTACCCCAGGTCACCTCATACTATTTCAGTCCTCGCTGTTTTCTCACAACCAAAGCATGGGTGCACTTTTGTATTGTTCTTTTTTATTGGCTGAACACTGGTAATTCAACCACTTTTTTTTAACTTTCCAAGAGCTAAGAGGAAAATTTATAAACTAATACTTGGGAAGAAATTAAATTTACCGCAATATTTAGTAATTAAATGGTAAACCTGCCTGATGTTAATATCCTGTGTAATGAATTAATTTTTTTAATATAATGTGAAATGTATTGAGAATGAGCATACACAAGGTTATTTTCAAGTAAAATCGCTTTTCATGTAAACTAAAATTACTGCTACTGTAACCAAACCAGTGTTAACCACTAGTTGCTTATTTCAGGTTGCTGTTCTTGTGTCTCTTGTTTTTAAAAGGTAACTTGTATAGACTATCAGACTTTAATTGATCCAAAGTCAAATCCTCTCTTCATACCAGTCCCAGTAATGGCAGGAATGACTCCTTTAGAGGGTTGTGTTATTTCGTTCAGCCAGTGTGCAGGAGCAGAAAAAGATTCGTTGACGTTCTTAGCAAATCGCCTTGGAGCAAGGTATGTAGTATTTTTTGTGCACTTGCTATCATGGTGTACCTTTTGACTTATTGGTGAACATTCAAATTGGAATTGAGCTTTGTGATGGCTCAGTACTACTAGATGGATACCTGGCAAAGGTTCAGACCATGGGCATTAGTGCTTACCTACCAGGAAAGGGAATATGTAAAGCTGATATGAGGGCCATGATTGAATATTGCACATCCAAGCATTATTCCCTTCCATGGGCCATATGGGCAATTTATTCTTTTTCAGTAATGAATACTTGGGAAGGAAAAAAAAAAAAGAAAATTACTTCCAAAATTCAAATTAGCCCAACCCCTAAGTGAACCTTAGGTGGTAACTGTTCTAAAAGGAAGCAGAAAACTTATATCAGTAAATGTAAATGAAATCAACTTTTATATTTTAAAAAAAAGTTCTTTTAGATTAGATCTTGAAGCAACACTTAAAATGACTTTAAAGAGACACACCTAAAACAAATTGATTCAGAACATCTGGAAAAAAAAAAGATGGGCAAAGGTATGTCAAAGAAATGCAAACAAAAGGAAAGGAGGGGTTGCAGTTCTAATGTCAGACAAGTTTGGATTCAAATGCAAAAGCATTAAGTAAGAAAAAGAAGAGCACTGTAAATAGCTAGTCACACTGAAGTTAAAATATATAAATGCCAAAAAGAACATGACTGTCATCCATCAGACGAAAACATTAGGAGATACAAGGTGGAATCAACAGAAATACATTAGTAATGTAGGAGACTTTAATTTCCATCTTTTATTTCATGAGAGGTCACATAGGAAAACAGGGAAGGATCTAGATTTCAATAGCATAGTCATCTACCCTGAAACAGAAAACATACCTTTTCAAGTGCCTGTAGAACACTAAGAAACATTGCCTATAAAGAAATTGGCCACAAAGAAAAGCTCAGTAAATTCCCTGAAGTAGAAAGAGTACAGACCATACTCACTAATCATGATGCAAAAAGACTAGAAATGAATAGTATAAATAGAAAATGAAAAGACCTTATAAACTGGACATTTTAGAACTATTTCATAACTCTTGGTTCTAAGAGGAATTCAAACCCATTTATAAGCCTAGAAATCATTATCAACACAATGGTAATAAGCAATCCCAGTGCCCAGATTGTGATCCTAAAATACCATTTCTGGCTAAAAGAAACTAAAATGTAAAGAAATGATTAATTCTAGGGGGCGCCTAGGTGGTTCAGCCCCTTAGGCATCTGCCTTTGGCTCAGGTCTTGATCCCAGTATCCTGGGATCAAGTGCCACATCGTGCTCCCTGCTCAGTGGGGAGCCTGCTTCTCCCTCTTCCTCTACCCACCCCCCCGCCAACTCATGCTCATGCTCACTGCTCTCTCTCTCTGCACTCTCTCTCTCAAATAAATAAAGTCTTTAAAAAAAAAATTAATTCCAGGTCTGGGGCAGAAAAGGTATCAGTGAGTATGGAACATTTTGTCAGACCAGATAGCAAGGACTGCTAAGGAAGTTGTGTCAAAAGGACCTCCACTGGCCAAAGACAGGAAAATTTAAGTATCACTAAAGAGAATAATGGCAGTGGATCCAAACACATCAAATAATGTTTAAATCATGATTTCATAATGACTTCCAAACAAAGCTAATTGGTCATGTTTGAAAGATGCTGGGAAACCAGCCCATTATTTGAAAGCTGTCAGATAAAGTGAAAGGATCAAGTATTTATCCTGCCTTTCCTATGTAATCTGTATCAGAGTACCATAATAATGGATAAGACAGTTTCTCTTTAAGAGGTATTCCAACAAATAAATGAAGAAGGATAGGGTTATAACTCCTAATGAATGAAAACATCTGGGCTCTGAAAATCAGTAATCACATAATAAAAAGGAAAACAGACATTATATGCCTCCTGATGAATAACACACTATCACCTTAAAGTGGCCTTACCAAAATGATAAAACCTCAATATGATGAAGTTTCTAGATTCAACTACTGATTTATAAGAAATAGGAGAATAGGCTCTCTGCTCCTCCCTGTTCGACAGACAGCCGCATCTTCTGGTGCAGTGCCAGCCGCATCCCTGAGACACGATGGTGAAGGTCAGAGTGAACGGATTTGGCCATATTGGGCGCCTGGTCACCAGGGCTGCTTTTAACTCTGGCAAAGTGGGTATTGTCGCCATCAATGACCCCTTCATTGACCTCAACTACATGGTCTACATGTTCCAGTATGATTCCACCCATGGCAAATTCCACAGCACAGGCAAGGCTGAGAACAGGAAGCTTGTCATCAATTGGAAAGTCCATCTCCATCTTCCAGAAGTGAGATCCCGCCAACATCAAATGGGGTGATGCTGGTGCCGAGTATGTTGTGGAGTCCACTGGGGTCTTCACCACCATGGAGAAGGCTGGAGCTCACTTGAAGGGCAGGGCCAAGACGGTCATCATCTCTGCTCCTTCTGTCGATGCCCCCATGTTCGTGATGGGTGTGAACCATGAGAAGTATGACAACTCCCTCAAGATTGTCAGCAATGCCTCCTGCACCACCAACTGCTTGGCTCCTCTGGCCAAGGTCATCCATGACAATTTCGGCATTGTGGAGGGACTCATGACCACCGTCCATGCCATCACTGCCACCCAGAAGACCGTGTCCGTCCCCTCTGGGAAGCTGTGGCGTGATGGCCAAGGGGCTGCCCAGAACATCATCCCTGCTTCCACTGGCACTGCCAAGGCTGTGGGCAAGGTCATCCCTGACCTGAACGGGAAGCTCACCGGCATGGCCTTCCGTGTCCCCACCCCCAACACGTCTATCGTCGATCTGACCTGCCACCTGGAGAAAGCTGCCAAATACGACAACATCAAGAAGGTGGTGAAGCAGGCATCAGACGGCCCCCTCAAGGGCATCCTGGGGTACACTGAGGACCAGGTTGTCTCCTGCGACTTTAACAGTGACACCACCCACTCCTCCACCTTCGATGCCGGGGCTGGCATTGCTCTCAACAACCACTTTCTCAAGCTCATTTCCTGGTATGACAATGAATTTGGCTACAGCAACCGGGTAGTGGACCTTATGGTCTACATGGCCTCCAAGGAGTAAGAGCCCCCTGGACCACCAGCCCCAGCAAGAGAAAGAGGAAGAGAGAGGCCCTCAGCTGCTGGGGAGTTCCTGCCCCAACTTATCCCCCAAAACACTGAGAATCTCCCGACCTCCACCATTTCCATCCCAGGCCCCCTGAAGAAGGGGAGGGTCTTGGGGAAGCCTACCTTGTCATGTACCATCAATAAAGTATACTGTACCCAGCCAAAAAAAAAAATAATAATATGTTAAACTATAGCACAGAAATGCAGTTAGCAAAATCCAGACTCTGAGATAACTTTGTTATAAATAATACAGTGTCTTCAACAAATATGTATTAAGGGGAAGGGAAAGAGGACGGAGCCTATAAGCTAAAAGACAAAAAAACCCAAAAAACTAGTTTTTAAGAATGCACTATGTGATAAAACTAAAGAAAGGTAAGGAAGTGATTGCCACAAATACCCAAATAGTGGCTACTACTAAGAAGGGAGGTATGGAGGGGTTGTAATTGAGCAAGGGACACATTGGAGAGGTTCTGGAGTGGCTGGCAAGATTCTGTCATCTGATGTAGTTGGTAGATACAAGGGTTTTCACTTAATAATAATTCACTAAATTTTGTATTTCCATTTTCACTGTCTTCTGTATTTGAATTATACTAAACAATAAAAAGCTTTTTGAAAAAAACTGAAGTTGCAGAAAATCTAGAAAGTAATGATAGCAAAAGTATGACACCCAAGTTCCAGGGGTTAAACTAAAGCAGTGCTTAGAGAAAAATTTAGTAAAGTGGCTTTTAATAAGTATCAATAAAGTGGCAAATTAATATACAGAAATCATTGACCTTCATACAACCAGTTAGAAAAGCTAATGAAAACTAAGTTTCAATGAGAGATAAAATACTTACCAACAGGTTTAACAGGAAACTTGGAAGAGCTACAGAAGCTTATAAAATGCTATTAAGGGAACAGTAGAAAAGATATCCATGTTCTTGAAAAGAAGATTATAAAGTTTCTATTGTTCAGTCCCCTACATTAATGTATAAATTTAACATCCCAGTTAAAATGCCATCCAGATTTTTTAGGGAGGGCAACAAGCAAACTAAATTCTTGAATTCTTAAGAAAAGGTTAGCAAGCAGAAAAATCATGAAAATTCCAAAATAGAATAGTTATTTAAATATATTTTGTAAAACCTCACTAAATAATAGTGTGGCTTTAATAAGTTGCAGGAAGTTCAGTGAACGAGCAGAAAGTCTAGAAATAGACCAAATACAAACAGGAATTTAGTGTATGATAAAAATGATATTCCGGGATGCCTTGGGTGGTGATTCAGTCAGTTAAGCATCTCCCTTCGGCTCAGGTCATAATCTCAGGGTCCTGGAATCGAGCCCCACATGGGGCTCCCTGCTCAGCGGGGAGTCTGCCTCTCCCCCCTCCCTCCCGCTTGTGCTCTCTCTCTCAGATAAAATCTTTATTAAAAAAAGTGATATTCCAAGTCATTGAAGAAGAGAGATGGCTTATTCAGTAAATAGGATTCAATAAAGTTAGAGCCATATCTCATACAAAATAAGTACCAAATGGATCAGTGAGTTAAATGTGAAAAATGAAACCATGAAAGTGCTAGGAAAAATGTGGGAGATTTAAAGAATCTTGAAAGTGGGAACTAGAGCATAAAACCCAGAAGCTGTTTAAAAAAAAAATTCTGTTTATATATCAAGTGGTGGACTTCTCTTTTCTGTCCCCATGTTCTCTGTGTTTAATAAATATTCTGTGATTTTGAACAAGTCACTTAATTGTATCTTTTCCCAGGTATCTTTACGATTGTAAAAGGGATGCCTGGGTGGTTCAGTCACTTAAGCGTCTGCCTTGGGCTCAGGTCATGATTATGTGGTCTTGGGATCGAGCCCCACATCGGGCTCTTTGTTCAGCGGGGAGTCTGCTTCTCCCTCTGCCTCCTCTGCCTGCCGCTCCCCGTTTGTGCGCACACATGTGCGTATGCTCTCTCTCTCTCTCTCTCTCTCTCTCTCTCTCTCTCTCTCTCTTTCTCTCTCACAAATAAAATCTTTAAAAAAAAAACAATATTTTGTAAAATACTGGTATTTCACAAATATTAAGGGTATCAAATGAGATTATGTCTGAAAATGCTTTGGGAAGACATAGTGGGCTAGAAAGATACAGTGTGTTATTCATACCCTTTCTGTGCTCCCTGGCTATTCCATGCCTCCTTTTGGGAAGAAGGGCCAAGGTGGGTAGGTGATGACTAATTAAGGAGGTAATTTTCCTGGTTAGTTCTTGAAAGTCTAGGTTAATTTGCTTATGTTTTTATAAAAAGTTTTACTGTAGCAATACATTTTTATCTTTGAGTAAGCGTTTGTAAGAGGATTCGTAAACATCAACTTTTTATCAGCGAGTATTATATATAGAACTCTTAACAACAGTTGTATTAGAAACTTCCTTCTTAGCTTGCTCACTAGTTGTGTATATGACCGTTTGCTTTTATTTAAATATAATTTTCAGCGTTCAAGAATTCTTTGTTCGCAAATCCAATGCAAAGAAAGGCATGTTTGCCAGTACACATCTTGTATTGAAAGAACCAGGTGGATCTAAATATGAAGCTGCCAAGAAGTGGAATTTACCAGCAGTCACCACATCTTGGTTGTTGGAGACTGCTAGAATGGGAAAGAGAGCCAATGAAAGCCATTTTCTGATTGAAAAGTCAACTAAAGAAGGTTAATACTTTTATTTTGTTCTTTTATATGTATTTTTACAATTTGATGGTTTCTGGAATATGAATGTGTCAAAGCTTGTTTTTAGACAAGGTCACTGATTTCTCCTTTTCACGTTGAGTGTTGTGCACCGCTGTTAAGCATTCCTTATTGGGTGGCAAAATAAACATGTTCATAGCACAGATACTTAATTTTACCTGTTCTCTACTGCAGGCACTGTCTGAAAGCTGGAAGGTACAAAATAATCTAGAAGCATTCTGGGGTCTCAGTGTTTGAAGTCTTACGATGTGAGCTAGGATCCCATTTATTGTTCCTTCTGTGGCTCACACTGACACACCATGTCAATCATGTGCTCTCGCTTCCTCTCATCTTTGGACTTCTGTGTCTTTTCTCTAGCGCACCTCATGCTTGCCTCTTTGTCCTTATCTTTCAGTTCTGGGAAGCCTTCCTTGACCCACCAACTATAGCCTTTGTCTTGCCAAAACTCCCTGCATTATCCCCTTTGAACCTTTGATCCCAGTGGTGTAATTCTAGTTTGCTTTCACATCTCCCTACTCAGTTACAGGCTCTGAAAGGGCAAAGAATATGCATGTCTTGTGCGTTATATATTTCCATTGTCTAGCATTGGACCTGGCATGGCATAGCCATCTATTAAGTGTTTTTGTTAAATGTTGAAAAAAGGCTGGTGGGAGGACACAGTACCCCCTCTTCTAAGATGATGGCATCCCTAGGCAAACTTCAGGGACAAGTCAGTAGCTTGGGAACAGCTCTCAGAGCCATTATTGCTTACCCAGACAGACTGGAAATTTTACAACTGAGGCAAAGTGACATTTAGGTCATATTAAAATTTCACTAAGAACTTTTTAAAAACTTCACTGTAGTTGTTAACTCAGAGTATATGTAATTGGGTTTGTTTTTTTTTTTAACTGCCATTGACTAAGATGACACATATAATATTTGGCAAATCGTGAGGTTTATTAAAAATATTTCAAGCAACAATATGAAATAGGAAGTCTAATTTCATTCATTGTTTCAATTGTTATGCTTTGTCTAACTCAACATATTTTAATACATCATTTGGTTTGTTTCTTGGAAGGTAGGTATATAACTTTGTGACTTAAAGTGTACTTGAGAATTCACATGAAAACTAACAGTATGATATAAGAGTATCACTTTGTGTATGCCTCTTTAGAGATAAAAGATGACCTTAGTGGCTCACATTTGTTTCTTTTCATTTTAAATCTCTAGAACAAAGTTTGGAAACTGAAATAACAAACAGGGTGAATCTAAATCCAGATACTCTGGAGCATCCTGTTGCACAACTGGAAACTCACAGGAAAACAGCTGTTACACCTTTAGATATGAACCGCTTTCAGAGTAAAGCTTTCCGTGCTGTGATCTCACAACACACCAGACAGGTTTCAGTCTCCCCACCAGTGGGACAGCGACTTCAGAAGGAGCCCTCCTTACATCTGGATACACCATCAAAATTTCTGTCCAAGGACAAACTCTTCAAACCTTCCTTTGATGTGAAGGTAGGGTTTATAGAAAACAGTCCTGGAGTTAACCATTAACAATTCATAGTATATTAAAGTTAAAGCTCCAAATTCTGCATCACCTCTAAAGTTTGTGGTAGTAAGTTTTCCAGAGATACTGGCAGGTAGATTCATATTATCGCGTTCCATCATATACTTAGGGTTGAGATAACAGCTGGAGGTAAAATGGTGTGAAATCAGGACTGGGTTCAAGTCCCAGATCACGAACAGTATGACTCTGGACAGATCATTTAACATATCCAAGCATAGGCTTTTTCTTTTGTACAAAGAGGCTATCACTTGCTCTGAAAACTCAGATTTATCTTAAGGATCGAATGAAATGGTGTGATGAAATGATTTTATAAACTATGATATAAACCCATTGCTACTTATATTTTGATTCTAGCAGTACCCTCAGTGCTTTCCCTCCAAGAATGTGTCTATTATCACCTTATTTTGCAGTCATTTCCCTTGAAAAGATGGGTTAAGTCTGCATCTTTGTTTGATCTCCTGAGCACTGGAGGATGGCTCCTTTTCTGAGAAATTCATTCACAGATCAAGAGTTTATTTGTCAATAAATGGTTTCCTCTTATTCTCCAAAAATGATTTTCTTCACTATTCCTTTAGTAGCTGTTGGCCTTTCAAATGGCTATTAAAATCATTGTTGATGATTTTTTATCCATGAGCCTTTGCACAATTACTGTACTAATCATCTGTTGGAGTTCTGCTGATAGGGTATTAAGCAACATTCTGGGCACCTGGGTGGCTCACTCGGTTAAGTGTCTGACTCTTGATCTCGGCTCAGGGCTTAATCTCAGGGTCTGGAGTTCAAGCACAGTGTTGGGCTCCATGCTGGGCATGGGGCCTACTTAAAAAAACATAAAGCAACATTCTAATAATTTTTACTGGTGTGTTTAGGAGTAGGTTTATAAAATTTACAGATTGTTCGTCTTCAGAAAATAAATATAAATTGATACTTTGGATAGTTCTCACCAAGCAAAACCTTTGCTCGAAAAAGTAACATTTGGTACTATCATTAACACTGATCATTATGCCTTAAGAAATAGAGAAAAATCACTGGTTTGAGAACAGATCTAGAATCAGGCTTCTGTTTTGCTTCTTGCTGTCTTTTAAGGCAGGTTAACCTCTTTGGGCTGGAGTTTATCTCCATCTGTAAAATCATGGAGTATATCTAGATGATCTCTAAGGTCTCTTAGCTCACAGACTCTTTGAATAGTAGATGAAATGATACTAGTAGGCAAGAAAAATAGAAATATTCCCAGTCATTGACACCATTCTTCTTTAGATACCTTGCAGAAAGCTGATGGTTCTGAAATAGTCTCAGTGAAGGCACAAAACACATTTAAAAGTTTTATCATTTAGAGTCATAGTTTACTTAGCAGGGTTTTTCTTTTTTTTTCCTTTCTTTTTGGGGGGCTGATTTTGGGGGCTTTTTTTTTTTCCTTTTTGGTAATACATAAAATGGTACTTCATCTTACAATCAGTGGTTCTTCAAATTGATGTAATATGGTACATTGAATTTTTTACTCAACAATAGGGCCCATGAAATAATCATAAAATTGAACACGTTAGGCCTCATATTTTAAAAATCTTCTATTTAATTTTTATTTGGCATACATCAGAAAAGTACAACAAATGTGCTGCTAAATGTTAAAGTTAACAGCTGGAAGGCCACTGTACATGTTCAGAAAGAGATCATTGCCAGTGCCATAGAGCCTTCCTCATGCCTCTCCTTCATCACTGTTTCCTCCTTCCTTCCAGAGGTAACACTCCTGACTTCTAACACTAGTTTTATTATGCTTGTTTTTATTTTTAATTTTAAACGTAGAATTATAATATATATTCTTCTTGAGCCTTTTTTTTGTTCAACCTGTTTGAAAGCTGTGTCCTTGTTCCTGTAACTTTAGTTCATTGGTTTCACTGCTGCATAATATTCCATTAAATGGGTATACCACAATTTACATACCCAGTCTACTATTGATGAGCATTTAGATGGCTACTAGATTTTTGCTCTTACAAATCATGTAGACATTCTTGTGCATGTCTTTTGAAATATGTGTGCATGCATTTCTTTTTGGTATACGCCTAAAAGTGAAATTGCTGGGTCATATTTCAACTTTAGTAGAGACTAACTGTCAAAGTGGTTGTACCAGTTTATACTCCTACTAGTAATGTGTTGAGCACCCAGTGTCCCCCATCCTTGCCAACAAGGAATTATAAGTTGGGGTTTTAGTTTTTGGTTTTTGGTTTGTTTTTGTTTTTTTACTTTTCACTTGGAAATAATTTCTGACTTACAAAAAGTTGCAAAATAAAAATATTAGAAGGAATACTCATATACCCTTTATTCAGAAATAGAATTTTCATTACTTTCCAGATGGAAAGGCTTTGTTTTGTTTTTAATTTCTTGTTTTATTACATTGTGATTAGAGTGTTGTTTATAATATTTCTACTTCATAGAACTTACTGATCTTTGTGCCCTGATATATGATCAGGTTTTTTTTTTAATTTTTTTTCAAAGATTTTATTTATTTATTTCAGAGAGAGAATGAGAGATAGAAAGCACGAGAGGGAAGAGGGTCAGAGGGAGAAGCAGACTCCCCGCTGAGCAGGAAGCCCGATGTGGGACTCGATCCCGGGACTCCAGGATCATGACCTGAGCCGAAGGCAGTCGCTTAACCAACTGAGCCGATCAGTTTTTGAGAACACTTCTTGATTTTTGAGAACATTTTATGAGAAGATGTATTCTCCAACATGGATAGTCTTTGCTACACACACACACACACACACACACACACACACACACACACACACACGATATGACTTACTGATTATGTTGTTTAGATCTTTTATATCCTTTCCTATTTTTTGTTCATTGAACTCCTACTAAGTGGTGTTTTCAAGTTTCCTAATATGGTGTGTTTCTGTTTCTTGCATCTCATGTGGTTTGCTATGTTAATTAGTGCATAGACATAATTATTAATGTAACTTGGGATATGTTCTTTTTCTCATTTAATACTTTTTGGCTTGAAGTCTACCTTGGTATAAGGATTTCAGTTCGTACTATCTTGTGATTTTCATTTGCCTTATAATCCTGTGCATTCCTTCATTTTAGTCTTTGGGGATTGCTGAATTTTAAAGGTAGAATTGAGCATAGAATTGAGTTTTGCTTTATGAGCCATTTAAAAAATCTTTTTCTTTCAACCAGGCAACTTAGGCACATTCACATTTAATATGATTTATACTTGGTCTCATTTCTGTCATATATTGTAATTACTTTATGTTATCTATGTGTGTATGTTACATGTTTCTTCAGGTATCTGTTTTTCTTTTTTGTTTTTCCTTATTTAGGAAAGGGTTTGTTAGTTTTATTCTTATGGTGCCCTTAAACCCCCTTCTTACTTAACCTTTTGTCAGTTGTAAATGATGTTTTGACCCCTGCTGCTTCTGTTGCAGTCAGTAATCTTATTCTGTTTCTCCATTTTCTCTCTTCCACTGTTTTTAATTACATTTATCTACTTTGTCAGAAAATAAAATGTTTATATATTTTTTTTAACCCATGGACCTCACCCTTGTTTAGTCTTAACTCTACAGTCAAATATGTGAAATGCTCACTGTCATTCCTTTGTGAAGTTTCCCCATCATCTGTTGGTAGGATGAAGTGCATCCTCTAGAATACTCGGGAAGGACACATGTGTACAATATTTCCTGAGTTCTACACATTCAAAACCTTTACCAAGACCTGATTTTTCAACAGATTATTTGGATGTACTGTTCCTGATTTGCATTTTTTTGTTTCTTGAGTTTCCTGAAAATGCTAATCCACTGCTGCCTTTCTTTGTATATATTGTTTTTGAAAATTCTGATGCCAGTCTAATTGTGTTGTTTTTGTAAGTTAATTTCATCTTTTTTGCCTGAAGGCCATGTGGAGTTTTCTTTTATCTTTAAAATCTAATAATTTTACAAGGTTATGTCTAGATAATGATTGTTCTCCATCAGTTTTCCCTAGTACATGGCAGGTGTTTAAATGTTTGGAATTTGAATCCTCCTCCAAATTTTTGGTCTGAGAGATTAGAAGAAAGGAGCTGCCAATCAACTGAGTTGAATGGAACGGGTTGGGATCAGGGCCTCAGATCAAGAGTTTGTATTTTTGACACATAAAGTTTGAGATGCCTGTTAGATATCCAAGTACTGTTGTCAAATAGGTAGTTACATACATAGCTTGAAGTTTGGGTAATGATCTGGGCTAGAGAAAGAAATTTGGGGATTCGAGTTTGTAGGTAATATTTAAAGCCATATGAGAATAGATGCCAAGTGAGCAGGAGAAGAGAAATGTCCAAGGAGCACTCTGAGGGATTCACATTTAGAGGAAGAACCAGCAGGGGAGACTGAGAAGGAGCCACCAGTGAGGGAAGAGAAAGCCTAGAGATTGTCTTAGAGGCCACATAAGAAAATATTTGAGGAAGAATAGTTAATTGTGTCAGATGCTGCTGAAAGTCAAGAAAGGTCAGAACAGAAAATTGACCACTGGATGTAGCATTGTGGAGGTCACTGGTGATCTTAACAGGAAGTGTTTTGATGACATGGTGGAAGTGGAAGCCAGTATAGATTCATATGGGAATGTGAGAAGTTTATAGACATTGAATATAAACAGTGCATTTGAGGAATCTTACCTGTAAAGGGGAACCAAGAAATGGGGTGGTTGCTGTAGGGCATAGTAGAGTCAAAAGAAGGTTGTTTTATTTTCAAGATAGGACAAATAACTGTAGGGGAGCCTGAGTGGCTCAGTGCCTTCGGCTCAGGTCATGATCCTGGGGTCCTGGCATCGGGCCATCAGGCTCCCTTGCTCAGCGCAGAGCCTGCTTCTCCCTCTCCCAATGCACTCCCCCCTGCTTGTGCTCTCTCTCTCTGCCAAATAAATACATAAAATCTTAAAAAAAAAAAAGAAAGAAAAGAAATAACTGTATGCCAGTATGGCCAATCTAGTAGAGATCCAGTTGATGTAGACAAGAGGGGAGAATTGCTGAAACCACATCCCTTGAGTTGTGAGTGAGGTTGGGATCTAATGCTTAAGTGGGGGAAATACCAGAAAGGAAGCAATGTGAATGGAGCAGGTGCAGAAAGCAGGTAGCTGTGTTATGCGAGGTTGATTTTTTTTGTTTGAAGAATCTTTTTAAATGCTATATAGGAATCTTTGAAAAACTTTAGCAAATAGAAAGTCTTTCCATATTCTCACAAAGAAGGTTAAACATTGTAAAGATCTATAAAGGTAATATAAATCCTATTAAAAATGCAAGCAAAAATAGTATTAAAAATCTGAAAAGAGGGACGCCTGGGTGGCTTAGTCGGTTAAGCATCTGCCTTTGGCTCGGGTCGTGATCCCAGCGTCCTGAGATCGATCCCCACGTTGGGCTTCCTGCTTGGCAGGGAGTCTGCCTCTCCCTCTCCCTCTCCCTCTCCCCCAGCTCTCTCTCTCTCTCCCTCACTCTCTCAAATAAATAAAATCTTAAAAGGATAATCGAGGGTAGGCAGTAGCCCTACTAGTTATTCAAGCATTGTATGAAGTTGCAGTAATTGAAGCAGTGTGTCATTACATGAGTACTCCTATTAATACACAGGATTACACCCCATAGATAGGAGAATGTATTATATGATAAAGGTGGCATTCAAATCAGGCAACTGGGTAGCCATCTGAGAAAACGGGATGAAAACTCACCCCTTACATGAGAATAAATTTCAGAGGATTAGATATTTAAATACAAGAAATAAAGGCATAAAAATAATAGAATAGTCCATGAAAGAGTAAGTTTGTTTTTCAATAATCCCAGCATTAGGAAGGCCTTTTTTTTTTTTTTTTTAAGATTTTATTTATTTTTTTGACAGAGCACAAGCAGGGAGAGCAGCAGGCAGAGGGAGAAGCAGGCTCCCTGCTGAGCCAGGAGCCAGATGTGGGGCTCAATCCGAGGATCCTGGGATCATGACCTGAGCTGAAGGCAGACACTTAACTGAGCCACCCAGGCGCCCCAAGGAAGACCTTTCTAACTATAACATATACCTCAAAAGAAATAAAAGGTTCATATGAATCTGACAGCATTAAAAAATTCTCCACATTCAGCCCCAGATTTTATAAATGTGCAATAAAAGTATTTAAAAATTCTCCATGGCAAAAATTTGACAACAAATTGGGAACAAATATATGTATATCTCAATGGATATGTATACATACAAACTCATACAAATATATTCAGGCAAGTGAATAAAAAAAAAGCCAAAGCGGGATACCTGGGTGGCTCAGTCCGTTAAGCATCTGACTCTGGATTTCAGCTCAGGTCGTAGTCTGCTTGAGATTCTCCCTCGGCCCCTCCCCCTGCACTCTCACTCTCTAAATAAATAAATAAATAAATAAATAAAATCTTTAAAAAAAAAAGCAATGGGGAAAAAATGGGCAAAAGTTAGGAAGAGATAGCTGTCACAAAAAAATAGAAGTATTATACATGCATAAAGATGTTTAATCTCGTTTAGTAGAAAAGAGTGGGAAAGCATACAGTTAAATTTTTTTAACCTATCAGATGGGCAAAAAAAAAATCTGATTACCCACTGTGCTATCAAACATGTTGGGAAACACTCTAATGCTTTGCTTGTGAGAATGTCAACATTGTTACATAAATTTTGCTTAAATGTTTCCTTTTATCCTTACATGTGCAAAATGGTGTGTGTACAAGGTAGTTGGTTGCATCATTATACTTGCAAAAGATTGTTAACCTAAATATTCATCAGTTGAGCAGTGGTAAATACAGTCAGCTGTGTGCATGGAGTACTATACAGATGGAAAAGAGGAGCAGCAGTGTCCTAAGTAACAGTGATCCCTTCTCATGAGGGAACTGTGGGTGGCTTGGGAACAGGAATGTATTTTGTCCTTTTGAGGATTTTTCACAATTCTCAGTACAGCCAACTTACTAATCTTACAGTTCAGATCTTGCTCGTATCCATCCTTGCTTGTTTCCTTCCATGTTTATTGTTTGTTCATTTTGCTTTTTGGTGTCCTTAATTTTAACTGCACCTCCCACTCTAAGGTTCAGCCAAATATGGTGAGTACAGCTGAAAATGTAAGCATTTCCTGGACAGCATGAAGTTTTTTTTCTTTATTATGTTCAGATGCAGATAATATTTCATTCTTTTTGTTGTTTGGAGGAAAACCGGAGGAGGCTAAAGCTGTAATCCAGTTAATTTTGAGGATTCTCTCTCTGACCTCTCCCTTTTCTCTTTCCTGTACCGTTGACCTTCCTGTTCCCTACTGTCCCCTCTTCCCTTCTGTCCTTTCCAATCCTCTTCCTCCTCCTCTTCTTTCTCGTCCTCTCTCTCTCCCCTGACATACATACAGGATGCACTTGCAGCCTTGGAAACTCCAGGAGGTCCTAGCCAGCAGAAAAGGAAACTGAGTACGCCACTTTCAGAAGTCATTGTCAGAAACTTGAAACTTGCTTTGGCAAATAGCTCTCGAAATGCTGTTGCTCTGTCTGCCAGCCCTCCGCTGAAGGATGCCCAATCGGAGAAGGTAGAATTAGATCTCTTATTAAAGGCAAGTTGTAGATAAAATATTTCAAACAATAATAGTTGATCTGTTTCTTTTCATTCCTATGGACAGGAAGAAGCCCCCAAGCCACTTCACAAGGTAGTGGTATGTGTGAGTAAGAAACTCAGTAAGAAGCAGGGTGAACTGAATGGGATTGCAGCGTCTCTGGGAGCAGATTACAGGTAGTTGACACATCTTTCTGTTTTGGTACTGATATTATCTACACATATAGGAAAACCTAAAGCTATTGTGAGCATCCACAAAGGACCATTTATTTTGCCTTTTAGCATGTCATATTGTCTGCGGTATCTCCAGTTGATTTTTCGTTTACTACATCCTTGAAAAATACTCACTCCCATTATCAGTTCACGTTGCTATGTGTATTTTTTAGGGTATGTGCAACCAATATTTGAGAACCTATTTTGTGCCACTCACTATTCTAGAAACTTAGAAACTTGGGTTCCATGAATTACGAGTACAAGAAGCATCTTTGCCTAATACATTCAGTAAAAGATTCATGGCACATTCACTCATATGAGATACGAGGTGTGAGATTAAGCATATTTGTACCTTAGTGAGTTTCAGAGTAGAGCCCTCCTGTGAGCAGTGCTGCAGCCCTCCAGGAATCAAATGGTTTTTTTGTAGCATGGTGTAATTTCTATTCATTTTCACTACTTTAGAGGTATAGATTATCAGATCTGCCCTCCACCTGACAGCCATGCTAGAGACAGCCTCTAGCATAGATGGTATGTGTGCCAGGGATTGAGAGAGCCTTACCCATGCCAGCCAGTCTTGAGTCCATCGTACTCCACTGTCGGCAGTGCTAGGTTTCTTAATCACTTGTATTCAACCATTTGTAGATAGCGTAATGACTGGTTCTATAAGTAACAGACAGTTTGAGAAATACGTTTGGCTTTATCTTCACCTTTGGTAAGTGTTACTTTGGTTAGCTTTCTATTTGATAAATTAGATCAGGAGAATAAAAATAAAATGTATCTGAGATAGTTATAAGCATCTTAATGTGTTTAATGTATCTGTTTTAGAAAAGCTTTACTTGTTAGAACTAATGTTTGTATTACCTGTTTTGTATCTACTATATGATTACATATTATTATAATCATATTACCTTTTACCAGTTGCTGAGCTCTTAGTATGAGCCAAGCTTTATCTCATTTCATTCTCACAAGAGTCCTTTGAGGGTCTGTATATTTGTCAAAGTTGAGTGCTTTATTGTATATTCTCTTTGCATGTGGACTTGATGTAAGACATAAAAGGAACCTATAGAACTTGAATTTTAATAAGACTTAAAATGCCAGTCCTCTCAGTGTGAAAAATAGAATCTGTTGCTGAAATTCCTAAATAAGATTTAACTGATTGAAAGTTTGCTTAAATCTGTTCCTTGGGGCGCCTGTGTGGTGCAGTCAGTTAAGTGTACATCTCTTGGCTTTGGCTCAGACTGTGATATCAGGGTCATGAGATTCAGCCCTCCGTCGGGCTCTGCACTCAGCAAGGAGTCTGCTTAAGACTTTATCTCCCTCTCTCTCTGTCCCTCCACCCCCACCCCCACCCCCAACTCGTGCACACGCTTACTCACTCTCTAAATAAATAAATCTTTAAAAAAATCTATTCCTGAAAGGGATTTCTCAGACTTGGTGAAGTCTCTACTTTAATATGTAGAGGTTACAATATTTATATGTTCATAGGGTAATCTGTTCTCAAATGAAACTGTCCCACTTATTCCCATCCATAAGCTAGAACCTGAGCATACTGAAGAGATCATCTGACACTGCCTCCCACTTCCTACAGTTAAACATCTAGGCCAGATCTCCTCAGCATGTCATAGCATTACCTCTTCTAAAAGGATTTCACAAATATAACAACTACTTTTTTTTTTTTTAATTAGGTGCCACGCCCAATGTGGAGCCCAGTACAGGGCTTGAACTCATTACCCTGAGATTAAGACCTGAGCTGAGATCAGGAGTTGGACACTTAACCAACTGAGCCACCTAGGCACCCCATAACTTAACTACTTTATAATTTTAAAAAATGAAAGTCATCAGAAGGCACATAATCATAGAATTTGTTTAGTATGTAAATGCCTGTGCCTGATGACACTGGAAGAAAACAGAATATTCATATGATTTTTGTTTGTTTGTTTTTAGATTTTATTTATTTATTCATGAGAGACAGAGAGAGAGGCAGAGGGAGAAGCAGGCTCCCAAGAAGCAGGGAGCCCGATGCGGGACTCGATCCCAGGACCCTGGGATCATGACCTGAGCTGAAGGCAGACACTTAACCATCTGAGCCACCCAGGCGCCCCAGAGTATTCATATGTTTACATACATATGTAAAATCACTTAAAATGCTGCAGCCACAAGGCTGAAACAGATACAGAGACTCAGATACCATGAGCAGCGTTTCTGTCAGTAACAGGACTTTACCAAGAGTTGTTCACAATCTGGCAAAGTTACAGATTAAGCAAAGTATAGTCTTCCATCAGTTGCTTAGTAGTTGGATGTTCGATACATTAGTGTATATTTAAACTGAAAAAATAAAAACTCACTTGTGTTTATAAGTAAAACAGGCCTCAGATTATTATAAACAAACTTTTTTTAACCTCTGAATTTGTGTCAGGACATTAGAAAATCATGCAAGATACGGGATAATTGTATGTGTAACTCTTCCTCAGAATTTCTAGTATCCCTTGACCTTACTAAATGCTTGTACCACCCCTCATCATATAAACACATTATTTTAACAACCAAAATCACTCCCACAAATTTACAAAATAGCTTGTAAGGTAACAATTTTGCTGAAAGCACTGATCTAGACCAGAAGATCAGCCATCTGTTTTTCTAAGTGAGGTTTTATTGGAACACAGCCATGCCTATTAGTTTACATATTATCTATGGCTGCTTTCATACAAGGCAAGAGTGGAGTAGTTTTAACTTTTTACGTTTACAACAACTTTTTGCCCTGCAAAGCCTAAAATATTTATCATCTGGCCTTGTAAGAAAAAATTTGCTAATTCCTGATCTAAACATTTTAGGATCATTGACAGTCTGTCATTAAAGGATCTCGGAGGACTGAAACTCAACATTTTCCATATTATTGCAGTGAGGCATGAAGCAAGATGAATCAGGCAGAAGTGTTCCTCTTATTTTTTTAATTATCTTTATAATTTATTTAAGTTTGTATTGTTTTCCCTAACAGAAGTAGAAACAACTATTAGACTAACGACTAAATTAGGCAAGGTGTTCTTTACTATTATTTTGGAGGAAACACAGACAATAGAGTAGGAAATAGAGATGTTTATAATATAATTTAGAAGGAAATATGCCTTCTTAATTTGTTTAACTTGGCTATTTAGAAAGTAGAGTTATAAACTGAGTGTTGCTGGAGTGGTGGGGGTGGGAGGGATGGGGTGGCTGGGTGATAGACATTGGGTAGGGTATGTGCTATGGTGAGCGCTGTGAATTGTGCAAGACTGTTGAATCACAAATCTGTACTTCTGAAATAAATAATGCAACATGTTAAGAAAAAAGAAAAAGAAGAAGATAGCAGGAGGGGAAGAATGAAGGGGAGTAAGTTGGAGGGGGAGACGAACCATGAGAGACGATAGACTCTGAAAAACAAACTGAGGGTTCTAGAGGGGAGGAGGGTGGGGGGATGGGTTAGCCTGGTGATGGGGGAGGAGGGTGGGGGGATGGGTTAGCCTGATGATGGGTATTAAAGAGGGTACGTTCTGTGTGGAGCACTGGGTGTTATGCACAAACAATGAATCATGGAACACTACATCAAGAATTAATGATGTAATGTATGGTGATTAACATAACAATAAAAAATTAAAAAAATAGAAAATAGAGTTATTTCTTATTTAGGAAATGGAAAGTATGTTAAGTGTCCATAATGAGAAACCTATTTATTTTGGTGATTATATTCAGAAATAAAATTTTTACTTTCTCTTGTTTTTACTTGATTTTAAGAAGGATAGTATATATTTTACAATTTTTAAATTATTTTCCTAGGTCAAGAAACTATTCCATGGGAAGAATCAAGAGATTGTAGGCTAATGTACTCATTAAGAGTATGGGTTTTGAAGTCAAAACTGGCTCTACCACTTACTGAATATCCTTAAATATGTTACTTAACCTTCAGTTTCCTTATCTGTAAAGTGGATATAATAATATCAGTGTGTTAGGATTGTTGAGAGGAATAGGTGAGATGTTGTGTAAAGTACATAGTTTATTATGGCACACAGAGGAAATGTACAATGACTAGTAACTGCCAATAACTGGAGGACAGATTGGATGCTTTGCCTATTTGATTGATTTTAAAATACCTTTATTGTTACTATAAAGTGATACTCATTGTAAAAAAAGAAAATTTAAACAATTCAAAAAAGTATAAAGAAGCAAGTAATATTTTTAAAGACTACCTACCCTCCAGATCTCTGAACTTACATACCTAGAGATATATGTGTAAAATTTGACCCCCCACCCAAAAAAATGGAGCCTGTCATTTAATGTCCATGATTACTCTAGATAGTGAAAGTTTCATGAAGGTGAATATATTCTGTTCGTAGAGAGCAATGATCATCTTAAACTCAGATATTTGTCTTAGTTATTTGTTTTTTAAAATTTGATTGTTTCAGATGGAGTTTTGATGAAACGGTGACTCATTTCATTTATCAAGGCCGACCAAATGACACTAACCGAGAGTATAAATCTGTAAAAGAAAGAGGAGTACACATTGTTTCAGAACACTGGCTTTTAGAAGTAAGCAATACTTTTTTTCCTTCCCTCTCTATTAAATGAGAATGTACACAAACATTGTTTCAGGACACAAACCAGTTTCCATGTATGTAAACAAGTTTGATAACCTTAGTTAACAGTGCACATTTCATTTCTTTGGCATTAAAAACTTAAGATCAGTCCCTAAATACTTGAGTTTTTAATGGGTACTCTTTCTGATTTCTCTGATTCTTTTCCCTAATTAAAAATGATGTGAAAGATAATATAGTAATTTAAGGAGAATTAATTTAGCATGCCAATGCAGTTTAGAACTGTTTTCTTTCCGGGTATTCCCAGGACTATGAATGATATCTTGGCAAAAGCATAGGAATGAGTTAGATCTTACTCTTCAGTGTACATGACATTAAAATTAGAACAGTTTTGTCATTTGTATGATGGTATGTTTCAGTGTCACCTACTTTTGTAAAATTTTAATTCTGCAAACTTCTGCTGTCTTAGGACATAATGTATTGGTTGTCCTTATTCTACTTAACGTAATTTATTCACTAAGATGTTTTTCAGTCCTGTTTTAAAGCATGCCATTATATTGCAGTGTGCGCAAGAGTATAAACATCTTCCTGAATCTCTTTATCCACATACTTACAATCCCAAAATGAGCTTGGATATCAGTACAGTGCAAGATGGCAGACTCTCTAATAGTCGACTACTCTCAGCAGATTCAACAACAAAGGATGATGAGGTAGATAATATGGTAACACATTTACCTCCTCCTTAAGCTGAATGTATAATCATACAGTGCTGTGAAACTTTATGCAGTGACTTGGTTTAAGAAATTGTAACTTTCTTCCTTGAATAGCCAAATCATTTGCCTATAGAAGAAAACGATATAGACAGTATAACCACCGGTAATAAAGAATCAGCAACATCAAATGGAGATGGAAGGAATGACTCTAAAGGAGGTAAAATATTTTAAATTACAAAAAAATTTTGTTTACAAATATATATCTTTCATACAGAATGCTTCCTTTGCTTGGAAAAACAAAGTTGTTTTCTGTGTCTCTATAAAGCATATATTTGAGGATTGAATTGAAGTTCCATGCCAATCATTAAGTAATAATATGCAAAGCTTTAGTGATTTATAAGTGTGAAACTTATGAAATCTGTGGAACTAGGTATTTTACAGAGGTAGTGTGATACAGCCCTATTTTGTTAAAGGTAAGTGGAATTGATGGTTTTGTAAAAATTTGTTCTTTGGTTCAGTTCTTTCCAGTAACTTTCAAAAAGCTTTAGTATATGTATAATATATTTTGACATATGCACATGGTTTAAAGGTATGGAAGGATGCATGAAGAGTTTCTCCCACTCTTCCAATGTTTTTAGTTGCTTATGTGTCCTACAGTTTTATGCATACACAATCGATCATAAATACATATGTTCTCTTCTGCACTTTTTTTAAAAAAATATAAAGGGTGGACATACTATATATGCTGTTTTATACTTTGATCTTTATCTTTTTGCTTAATAGTTCAACTTGTGCAGTGTTTCATATTGGTACATGAGCTTCTTTGGTCTTTTTCTTTCTTTTTTTTTTTTTTTCCCAACTGTATAGTATTCATTGTGTTGACCAAGAAGAAGAGGCTGTAAAGCAACCAAAAGCTATTATTTGGGGTTTTCAGGATTGCGGGTGATATAGTTCACTGAAACTCCTTATTGCAAGCAGGGAGGACAAGCTTATATAGGCAAAAACCCCACAAGGTTATGTAACTTGTTTTGAAAGAAATATGATTGGTGTTGTCAGAGTTTTTTTTTTTTTTAAACATTTTATTTATTTGAGAGAGAGCACAAGCCGGAGGAAGGGCAGAGGGAGAGGGAGAAGCAGGCTCCCCACTGAGCAGGGAGCCAGATGCGGGGCTCCATCCCAGGACCCTGGGATCATGACCTGAGCTGAAGGCAGACACTTAACCAGCTGAGCTACCCAGGTGCCCCTGATGCTGTCAGAGTTTAAACTGATACAAGAGGGTGCCTGGGTGGCTCAGTTGGTTAAGCAACTGCCTTCGGCTCAGGTCATGATACCAGAGTCCTGGGATCGAGTCCCACATCAGGCTCCCAGCTCAGCGGGGAGTGTGCTTCTCCCTCTGACCCTCTCCCCTCTCATGCTGTTTCTCTCTCTCTAATAAATAAATAAAATCTTTATAATAAAATAAATAAATAAAATAAACGGATACAAGATTATTATTTGGCTAACAGGTCATATCTCTTTTTCAGTCCAAAATAGAAGGATATGTTCTAGGAGGTGGTGGAGTTGGCAATTGACAAGTCACAGTTGACAGCAGTTAATAGTTCATGGTGTTCTGGGAACTGAAAACAGGAGACTGTGCGTAGGCCCTACTTTCTCAGCGTCCTTTGACTGTTTTAAGTGACTCTTAGCAGTGCTTCATTTTGAATCTTCTTTTCACAATTGTATGAATGGCCATTTAATCAGTCCCTTTTATGGGCATCCAGGTTCTGATTTCTTGCTATTACAAAGAGTACTGCAGTGAATAAATTTGTATCTATATATGTCCTATTTTTAATGGATTAATATTTTCTACTTTCCATACTCATTTTACCCTACTTACTGGAGCTTTCCTTATGACTTACCTATTTAGTTAGTCCCACTCAGTTCATTCCAAAAATGTTTATTTAGTACCATTGTGTTTAATCTACAAGGAAACCAAAAATAAATATATTGTGGTCTGTTTTCAAGTACCACAGGGGAAAATCACATATGTTAATTTCTGTAATGTACCTCAGAGTGTGGTACATAACACAGGAGAGGGTCAGAAGCAGGCAGGGGGCTCTACAAAAGGGATAATCACCAGGTCTTAGCAGTGTGTCTTAGTAGAGCTTCTTGATTTTTTTCGTACACAGTCGTCCTGGTAAGGACTGCCTTTATGTTCTGAATATTCCTAGTCTTAGTACATTACTATAGCCTGTAGTAAGTATTCAGTAAATGTCAAATGAATAAATTTGTGTTCAACCAAATCTAGACAAAACAGTTAATGTGAATGAGATGCTATAAAAAAGAAACAATTGGTGTATTTTTGTGTTTTCAAGCTCTGACACAGACCTTGGAGATGAGAGAAAACTTTCAAAAGCAGCTGCAGGAGATAATGTCTGCAACATCAATAGTGAAACCCCAAGGACAGAGGGCTTCCCTTTCAAGAAGTGGTTGTAACAGTGCTTCTTCAACCCCTGATAGCACTCGCTCTGCCCGCAGTGGGCGAAGTAGAGTCCTGGAGGCACTGAGGTATGTACCCGTCACTGATGGCAAAAAGGAGTGACTTGGTGACTTGAGAGGAGGGTAGCTCATTCTTTAGCTTCCTGCTGGCTCAGTTCCACGAGTTAAGCCTAACTTTGCACCTTTCCTGGGGTGGGGGTGTGGCAATCAGTAAAGAAAAAGATTAGAATATCAGGACCAGGAAAAGGGTTATACTACTGGGCTTTATTTAGCCCAAAGTATATATATTATATACTGCTTATGTGGCCTTTTACTGGCTAGCTTTTCCTTCCTCCCTAGCTTTTTTTCCTTCCGTCCCTTGTTCCAAGCTGTTCTAGAATTCTTACTTTGGGGTAGGAAGCAGACAAAGCTTTATTCCATACCAAGCAACTGCTTTGACATTGTGGTGTGATTAATATTTTTTGTAACCTCCCCTGAGAAGAAAATGATTTTAGGATCCACTTTGCCTCATTTGAAATGGATTCAATGGGTAATTCTCTCTGTTCTGTCATGTTAGTATAAATAATATTTGTTCTAAATTAGTTATTTCTTATTAAAACTAGGTGTATTTTGTATTCTCTTTACAAATTTATCTTCTAGAAAAGGTGATTACAGATCTCAGTGTGATATGATTCAAGTTCAGTAGTATAACTTCATCTTTTTCCTGATAGAAGAATCTCCAGTTGTATGACGAGTATTAGGGAACTTCTATCTTGAATTGATTGATAGAACTATGCATCTGTCTTAAGCTACCTATATATTTCATGAGGCCAATTCTATATTTGCATGCTGAGTGAAAGTGGCTTTTTGTTTAATATACTTCAGATCATGTGTTGTCATTACAGAGAGCCTAACTCTTGTGCCAAGTCAGAGTAGATAAATAAACTCAGAATAAAAGGCTGTCTTCCTTATATTTGAGGCAAATGAACACTGGGGGTACCATGAGCTTTGGTAAAATATATTTGTTAAGATTCCACTTATATGTATATACATAGAAGGAAAATAGTTGGAATTATATTTACTCTAGTGGAATTGTTAAAATTATGACATAAAACACTTCACTCTAGTTCAGTATATGGCTGGTCTATCTTGGACTCTGGGAGGTTTGGTTACCAAAAGCCAAAGGGACCTTCTTTTAAGGCAGCTTTTATAATACCCTTTTATAGTACTAATTATAGTTCTTATTATTTCAAGTGATAAAAATACATGTACTCATAAGTAAAGTTTTCTAAACTTTACCATGTTTCCCTAAGCCTGTATAATTAAGAGAAATTCCATTTTTAAATATAGCAATCATTTTAGAATTTTAAAATAATTTCTTGACAGTAAACTTTCCCTTTTGAAGTTTTAAATAAGTGGACATTTAATCAAAATAGATGTTTTCTAAATATTTTGTAAGTTTCTGGAAGAAATATTTTGAAGAGAAAAAAATGTCCCAAAGTGCATTTA